GAGAGAGAGAGAGAGAGAGAGAGAGAGAGAGAGAGAGAGAGGCAGCGCGGCGCGCACCGACGAGGGGCTGCCGGGGGCCTCGCGGGGAAGATGTAAGCGCGTGGGGTCTCGCTGGCCTCCGAGCACCATGCAGAAAGGGATCCGGCTGAACGATGGCCACGTCGCGTCCCTGGGACTGCTGGCACGCAAGGACGGCACGCGCAAAGGCTACCTGAGCAAGCGGAGTTCGGACAACACAAAATGGCAAACCAAGTGGTTCGCGCTGCTGCAGAATTTGCTCTTCTACTTCGAAAGCGACTCGAGCTCTCGGCCCTCGGGGCTCTACCTGCTGGAGGGCTGCGTCTGCGACCGCGCGCCCTCCCCCAAGCCGGCGATCTCTGCCAAGGAGCCGGCGGAGAAACAGGTGAGGGAGCGCCGCGTCCTGACCTCCCGCGCCCCCTGCTGAGGCCCTGGGGGGTTCGGGGGCGGGGGAGGGGCCTTCCACTGTGTGCTTCAGTGACCGAACTTTGACCCTTCTACTCTAAAGAAATTCAGGGCGTCTCAACGTCTTCCGCGGGAAGGACCAGCCGGACCAAACCGGGAGGGTGACCCTAGGGCGGGCAGAGGAGGCAGGGACTGCGGGCTGGGCGCCGCTAGGAGCTGCGGTGGCCCCGGGCCGGGTAAGCCCCGTAGGGGGCGGGGACAGGGAGGCTGAAACTTGGAGATGCCGATGGAGATGGGGTCCGAAGGACCGACTCCGGGCAAGGAATCTTCTCAGCATCCGACCCAAAATGGTGCCCCTACCCCCATCCCCACCCCCACGCCAGCCCTGATCGCCCGCGATCTTCTGCCTGAAACGTGAAATTCCTTGCGCTTAGGCTTGGGAAAGGTGAAACAAGCGTCGGAGCGTCGCGGCGCCCTGCCTCCCGCAGTTAGGGGCGAAGGATAACCTGCGCTAGCCTGGCCGAGTTGGGGATTGCCGGGGCCTTGGGGAGTCGTTATTTTTTATTTTTTATTTTTCGCGATCGAATGATGGTGCGCTCTCAGCTGGCCCTGGCCAGGCTAACAAACCCTAGGGTTCCAAAGACTGGTGTGATGCGCCGGGGTCGGGGCCAGGGCTGCTGCGGAGCAGTGGGACAAGTGGGCTCTTCTTTCCTCCCCCGCCCCCTGCGCCGCCGCGGCCGCCGCCGCAGTAGCCGCTGTAGCGCTGCGCTTGTTCACTCGCTTGCTGGCGATGCCCAAACAGCAGGGCTAAAGGGCCAGGCCGCGATCTGCCGCGGGCCTGGACCCAATGGAAGCGCCGGCTTGGCATGGAGGGAGGAGGAGAACAGCACCCAGCCTGTGGAAACACTCAAGCCGAGAGAGATGTCTTTAAGCTTGTTATTTCTCCAAGGCATCTGGCCCCGGGCCTCTGGGAGGGAAGGAAAAAAAGTACATGATAGTGTATCCTAAAATGTCACCACTGGGAGAGGCCTGACATCCCTAGGGCTCAGCCACCTGGCTCTTTGCCTGGATGGGGGGCGGGGGAGGGGGGAAGGGGTTGTCTTTTGCCCAGTGTCACATAGCAGGAGTCAAAGCCACCAATTGAATTGGCTGGGATGGGTAGCAGCCTCCCTTGAAGTCTCCTCCATAACTGGGGCAGAGATCTGCACTCTGTCCCTTCAGCACTCTCTCATACCTTCCTCGGCTCCTTTAGTGCTGGGTGATGATTTCCGTGGGCTAGGAAGCGCGGGCAGGAATTTGGGGGAAGACTCTGAGAATCACCAATCGGGAGACCAGGCGGCAGCTCCCAGAGGACAAGGAACAGCAAGCAGCGCCTTTAGCTTGTAGCCAAATGGAGCCTCCCTGGCCTCAGCTGGAGCAGCGAGACCCAGGCTGTCAGCCCTCTTGCTCACCTGCTGTCTGCAGCCATAGCACAGCTGTATCTATCAGTAGATTGTACCCCAAGCCTCAGCCAGGGGACCCCATAGCACCCCAGCCCCCTACATCACAGTAGGAGCTGAGCAGGGAAGCTCAAAGCATCTGTTCTCAGTTCCCTGAATGAGAAGACTGACAAGCTGGGGACTGGATCTCAGCGGAATGGCTTCTTGGCTGTGTGGCTTCAGTTAACTCACAGAAGGCCTCTGAGCTTGTTTTTGTGTACAAGGGGGAAATGATACTGACCTTCCCTGGGGCCTCGAGAACGCAAACTCAAATTATGTGTGTGAAAAGACTCTCACAATACAACTTAGTAGGATCCTAAATGGATTAGAATTATATCTACCTGTGTGGATATAATATTAGGATATATTATTAAGTCAATCAACCCTTCCCATTCTTCAGACAGAGAAACTGAGGACCGTAGAAAGGAAGGGAGTTGCCTAACAGCAAAGGAGTCTGTCAGAATAAGACCTAGAATTGATCCAGTGTCTAAAATCTCCTGAGAATAGGATCCCATGTTGACTCCAAGTTAGCCAACCCTCATCTTGGCTAATAATCGTGGGACAGATGGGAATGCAGGCCAGTCAGTGACGTGCACGGGTGTTCTGTGCCATTTCCCAGAACACTCAGTCACTAAGAGCGCTCACCAGGAGAAGAGGGCAAGTTGGGAGCTTGGCAGGTTCTTGTTGAAGACTCCTGCTTTGTCTCACACACTCATAGCCAAGAGTGTATGTGATCATATTTCTCCTGCTCCTCTGACCCACTCTTGTGTACAAAAGTTCATGATCACCCTTCAGTCTCTGAGTAAAATCTGTGGCCCTCGCCACTGTTTCTGTATTTCTCTCTGGCGAGGACACCCAATGGAATAAACCCCAGGACACTCTTCGAACAAGTTTAGACCTTTAAAACAAGGCTTGACTTCATACTCACTGGCATGTGGCCAAGTGCCCAAATTAATGAGCCTAGAAAATGCAATCAGTTTGGCAAGATTAACTGGTATCTAGTGGAACTTAGTTTTAAGAGGGCTTCATTTTTACCCAAGCATAAACCCATGGGACTAGAAAGTCTGAGCTGGGAACCCCTGCCCCAGTGGCAGTGGCAAGGTTGGAGACTGAGCACATGGAAGGTGCACAGGAAATACTTCTAATCTGAACATGTTTGGGGTGTCATATGTTACTTGCATATTTCATGTCCTGAGGATTGTCTGGGTGCTGGGCCTAAGAAGCTGATGATCACATATGTTGGGATTCTGAGGAAGATAAATACAAATAAGGAAGTGCACCACGCCCTGGGAAGACCTTGGATGACTGGATTGCAGGGTGTTTTGAGAGCCCAAGCTGTTCTGATACTGTCTCACCCAGCTGTACCAGACTGATCTGAGTATGTTTAAAGCAAGAGCAATAGCCAGGATTTTGCCCCACACTGGCTCTTGCCTGGGACCCCAGGGCCTCCTGAAATGAGACAGATGGTACCCTGACCTCCACTCTCCTTGGCTGCTGCGAGGTACCTCTCTGCGAGGTACCAGGCTCTCCTTGCTCAGCCCCGACTTCCTCTGCTCCCAGCCCTGAACCATGATATGAACTCAGAGCCTGGGTTCAAACAGCAGTGAGGGCCACAGATTTTACTCAAAGATTAAAGGGTGATGATGAAATTTTATACATAAGAGGAGTGGGAACTAGGACCCCATAGGTGCTAAACTTACCCTAGAGCTGAAGATAACTTGGATGTGAGTTTGTGAGATGAAGCAGGAATTGTCAACAAGACCCTACCAAGCTGGGCCACAGCAGATCACCTGCTGCTCCTCCCTGGAGACTGGTCCTCAAGGCTCCACACTGCTTCTGAATAGAGTCATCCATGGGGGCTTTTCCAAACTACCTGAAATAAAACTTTCAGAGCCAGCTTCTCAGCAAGAGATCTTGCCAAACCAACTGCAGTACGCACTGAACTCCCTCCAACCAGGAGAGGCTAAATGTAGATGGAAGGTGTTTTCCGATTCCCTTGAGAGAGGGAAAGGATTCAGGCAGATGGCAATAGAAGTCAATGCCTCAGAGCCTGATAGAGGTTTAGGCTCCGTGAGCTGCGAACCTCTCAGAACCTCTCCTCCACCAAGCCAATGTTATTTCCTAAAGGAAGCATTCCTCTGGATTCCTATTTATAGGGAACATTCCCGGTTGGCCTGGTGGTTTGGTCTCCACCACAGCCTGGAGACTCAGAGGGCTCCCGTTTTACAGATGAGGGACTTCTCATTGGCCACCCATCATGGCAGCAAACGTGAGACTTGCCCTCTGGCCTTCTCTCGCTGCAGCTATGCCCGCCCCGCCACCCTCCAGAGCTGGAACTAGTCAACTCCTCCACCAGCTGGGAAAATGCAAGCCGGAACATGGGGAAATGAGGCTCTTCTAATGGCAATACCCTTCTCACACACACAGCTTCCCATGCTTCAAGCAAACCAGGGGTGAAGGGCAGGGAGTCAGCAGCTCTAGCTTAAGGATGTGTACCTGCAGGAAGCTGGCAAGGCTGAGCTGGGCTGCCAGCATGTGTGGTCACTGGCTCTAGAATCACTTTACCCATCTTATCTCTCAAGGGGAAAAAATATGAGATTGAAGAGGCTCCCTGAACATGCATCTCAAAGGAATGCAACAGAAGGCTCCACTCCCTGCCATGTGCCTGCCGGCAGTAGGGTGAGGGTCAGGGACAGGTCTTAGGTCTGAAAACCTCAGCCTGAAATCTCACTGTTGTGAATTTGCCCAGGGTACATCTCAACTCTCCATGCTGAGCCAGGGTCAGGTCCCACAGGTACAGAGGAGAGAACTTTACAGTTTGAGCACTTACAGAGCCTTGTTCCACACAGCCCCTGCCAAGGGCAAGAAACCGTCTTTCCTTCCCAGAGAGCCCCTAGAGGACTCTCTCACCAGCCCCGCCTTGATTGGCAGCCCTGCCTCATCTGGTCCCTATCCTACCTCTTCCTATTCCAGCTCCCACTCTAGGGAACAAGCAGTCCCAGTGTTGTTTTATTTTTGTATTCATATCACTTTTAACCTTTTTGATTGGCACGCAACATATACCACCTGTACATATTTATAAGGTAGAGCATTATGCTCTGGTTCGCATCTACATTAAGTGTGGGTCAACACAGGGTAACTGCTATATACATTACCAGAACTTTTACATTTCTTACCCAGAGTGCATTCAAATTCTTCCTTCTATCAGCCATTGCCTAGGTAAGCCCCTGGGAGCAAGCTTGCTGACCTTTAATCCAGCCCCACCACTCCTTCTCCTTCCTACTCAGGTCACAACTCCTCATTCTGTGCATCCTTCTTCCAGTTCTCAAGACCCTAGAAGCACCCCTTCCCTCCTCGTCCTTCCCCATACCTGTGAGATGTGGCCTCTGGTCCTGTAGAAGGTCTTAGACTAAAAGTGACCTCTCAGAGGAGATGTCTCCCCCACCCCAACCCTACCCCACACCCACAGGAGCCAGTACAGCCCCAGATCCAGCAAATGGTG